CCACGCTCTGCCCGGCCTTGTGCTGACGCTGTGGCAGGGGGATGTCGGCCAGCTCGGCCTGGGGGAGGACGTGATGGAGAGGAAGAAGCCGGCCCTGGTGCCGCTGCCGGAGATGATGGTGCAGGTGGAAGCCGGAGGGATGCACACGGTGTGCCTCAGCCAGACGGGAAAAGTGAGTGCAGCGTGGAAGGGGCAGGGGGCGGGCCCGGGGGGGGGGGGTGTGGGGAGGCTGAGCCGCGCTTCCGCGCAAGCTCTGGGACGTGTCCTGGAGCAGAGGGGCTGAATTGGACCCTGCTCTGCCCAGAGCTGTAGCTCACTCCAGCTCCGGGGATGAGCGTGGTCTCCACACCATGGACCACAAAATTTTAGAATCATAGAATCACAGAATAGTTTGGGCTGGAAGGGACCTCTAAAGGTCATCTAGTCCAACCCCCCCTGCCGTGGGCAGGGACATCTTCAACTAGATCAGGTTGCTCAGAGCCCCGTCCAACCTGACCTGGAATGTTTCCAGGGACGGGGCATCCACCGCCTCTCTGGGCAACTGTGCCAGTGCTTCGCTACCCTCAGTGTCAAAAATTTCTTCCTTAGATCTAGTCTAAATCTTCCCCCCTGTAGTTTAAAGCCATTCCCCCTTGTCCTGTCGCAACAGGCCCTGCTAAAAAGTTTGCCGCCATCTTTTTTATAAGCCCCCTTTAAGTACTGACAGGCTGCAAGAAGGTCTCCCCAGAGCCTTCTCTTCTCTAGGCTGAACAACCCCAACTCTCTCAGCCTTTCTTCATAGCAGAGGTGTTCCATCCCCCTGAGCATTTTCGTGACTCTCCTCTGGACCCGCTCCAACAGGTCCGTGTCTTTCTTATGCTGAGGGCTCCAGAGCTGGACGCAGTGCTCTGGGGGGGTCTCAGCAGAGCAGAGGGGCAGAATCCCCTCCCTCGCCCTGCCGGCCACGCTGCTTTGGATGCAGCCCAGGATACGGTTGGCCTTCTGGGCTGTGAGCACACGTTGCTGGCTCACGTCCAGCTTTTCACCCACCAGTGCCCCCAAGTCCTTCTCAGCAGGGCTGCTCTCCATCCCTTCATCCCCCAGCCTGTATTGATACCGGGGGTTGCCCCAGTATTAGGGGCAAATATATTATATATTAGGGGGTCAAAGGGATAATTCAGCCTGGTAGGCCTCTGTCCCCTGGCTTCACGCTCAACCTGTTGCCGCTCCGGGTCCCGTCCTGACAGTCTCGCTCTCTATCTGCAGATCTACACCTTTGGCTGCAACGATGAAGGCGCCCTCGGGCGCGACACCTCGGCAGAAGGGTCGGAGACCACGCCGGGGCTGGTGGAGCTGCAGGAAAAGGTGGTGCAGGTCTCTGCGGGGGACAGTCACACAGCCGCGCTGACGGAAGACGGCAGGGTTTTTGTCTGGGGCTCTTTCAGGGTACGTTGATTTCTCAGACGCTGGAAGCTCTGCTGATGGTTGCTGCTTCTGTGACTCATGTCCCCGCGTCTGTCTCTCCACCCAGGATAACAACGGGGTGATCGGCTTGCTGGAGCCCATGAAGACGAGCTCCGTTCCTGTGCTGCTCCAGCTCAGTGTACCCGTTGTTAAAATTGTCTCAGGTGAGCAAGGTCCTGGGGTGCGCGCGGGTCAGGCTGGTGCACGAGGCTGTTGCAACCCCCGGGAGGAGGTGAAGGTCCAGAAGGTCCATGTCCTTTTTCTCCCTCTTGGCTGCTCCGAGCCTGGTACAAGGGTGTGCTTGCTCTCCTCTGGCTCTTGAGAGAACAGACTTTGTGTCTCTTCTAGTCCCAACAATATTGTTAATATTTGACTCAAATCTGATGTAAAATGCCTTACAAGAGTGCCCTAACTGCGACCCCACGGGGTCAAAGCGCTCGCCCTCCTCTAGACTCGGGGAGGCTGAGCAGGGCAGCTGGGGAACTTGCCCAGGGCCCAGGTGAGGTTGGGGGGGACCTGTTCCCCTAAACCTTCCCAGAGAAACTTCTTTGGAGTTTCAGACGGGGAACTGGGATCAGGAAGAGGGAGATCCTGGTGTTTTAAGTTGTGCCAGAAGCTGGCATCAAGGTATCCCCGCTGAATTCTAGAAAGCTGGGACAGCTGGGGTTTACATGTGGGATCTCAGCCCCTGGGTCTTGCTGGGTTCCTGGAGCATGACTCCTGCTTCGCTCATCTCCCCCATCTCCTCCCAGGGAATGACCACTTAGTGATGCTGACGGTGGACGGTGACCTCTTCACGTGCGGCTGCGGCGAGCAGGGCCAGCTGGGGAGAGTGCCGGCGCTCTTTGCCAACCGAGGAGGAAGGAAAGGCCTGCGTGAGTTGCTTTGGTGCTCGGAGGCGCGCGGTGCTGCGTCCTTCGGCCCCAGCTCTGCGCTTTGCAGAGGAGCAAAGAGACCCAGTCTCTTCCCCTGCCGCTCAAGGGCTCGCGTGTAAATCAGTTGTTTGGATTCAGTGAGCTGGATCTAAGGGGGGATGAAAATGGTATAGATCACTAGACCTCGTATGACGCCTTGTCTCCTGCCCCCAGAGCGCCTGCTGGTCCCCCAGCGCGTCCCTGTCAGAGGCAAAGGCAACAGAGGCAAAATGCGTTTCCAGGATGCCTTTTGCGGGGCTTACTTCACCTTCGCCGTCACGCAGGAGGGACACATCTATGGATTCGGCCTCTCCAACTACCACCAGCTGGGTGAGCTTCGCTTACGTCCCTCCGGATCTTCTGGCTGTGGACTTCCCGGTCCCGTGCTGCCTTGGCCTGGTGGGGGGACGCTGCTGGGCACCCCAGATCCTGAACACCAAGCACCCGCTGGACACACCGGAGCTGGAAATTGGGGTGGGGGGGTGTCACCCTGCATAGCTCTGGGTTTAGGTCCCAGCCCCTGCAGCCAGTGGGTTTGAGCAGAAATTTGATTTTGGGGCTTGGGGGGCTGTGTTAGTCGCTGGCGGGGTGAGCCCCAGGGTGGATGGCTCAGTGCCGGTGCCTGGCCTGGGCTGTCCGTGCCTGTGGAGCTGATCTGCCCGGGTTTATGCGTCCCGCCCCGCAGGGACCCAGGGCACCGAGCCCTGCTTCTCCCCGCAGAACCTGACGTGCTTCAAGAACTCCACCAAGTCCTGGGTCGGGTTCTCCGGTGGGCAGCACCACACGGTGTGTGTCGACTCAGAGGGTGAGTGCCGGCATGATGGGCGGGCTGGGAGTCGCACAAAGCAGGACCGGGGGGACTCACATGGCCCTCATCCTGGCTGGGGAGGTGTTGGGGTGAGGGTGATGTGCTGGGGCCCTCCAAGTCCTCGGTGTTCAAGGCAACAAGGGTGGCATGAATTTGCAGCGAAGGGCAGGGAGGATGACAGGAACCTGGACTCATTTGTGAACTCTGCTCTTGCAGGCTCAACAGTCTGTCCAGGCACCTGCCCACCCTATTGATTTTGGGGAGCTCAAGGGTCTCTATCCCACCCTGCACCTCCTGGTTGGGATCTAGGGTGTGGTAGGGAGGAGCGATGCTCCTCCAGGAATCAGACAGGGGGGAGAGGGTCCGGCTATGGCCTGCTGCAGGCGTCTGCCCTCCTCGAGCCACCTCTCCTGTGTGTCTGTCGTGCCCCAGGTAAAGCCTACAGCCTGGGCAGGGCCGAGTA